GACCTGTGGATAAACACTGTGGATTATGACTCTGATAAATCCTACTCCATTGTGAGCATTTTGGGGGGAAGGTTTGAGTAAACAATGATTTCACAGAATGTTGGTCTGGACGGAGAGAAGAAACCAGAGTGATTTTTTCTTCTTTTTTTAAAAAAAAAAAGTACTTTATTGATTTTTTTACAGAGAGGAAGGGAGAGGAATAGAGTTAGAAACATCGATGAGAGAGAAACATCAATCAGCTGCCTCCTGCACACCCCCTACTGGGGATGTGCCCACAACCAAGGTACATGCCCTTGACCGGAATCGAACCTGGGACTCTTCAGTCCGCAGGTCGACGCTCTATCCACTGAGCCAAACTGGTTTCAGCCGGGCTCCTTCTTTTCAGAGGGAGCAGCTTCTTGTCCCTCTGAGGCAAAGCTGTTCTGGAGAAAAAAACCTTACCATTCTCCGGGTGCTTCTCCGAGGCTTTTTCTGTCTCCATCAACGTGAGTGGGTATTCATCTCACTGAGTCCCCAGCAGCTGCCTCCCTTTGCATGGCTGTTTGGGTTACAGCTTTCTGTTTTTGTTCTTCTTTTTAATCGAACAGATTTTCTTTTGAGTTCTGGATGAATGTCAGCCCAGGTTTTTGGTGGGGAGCAGGCTCTCTTTCCGAAACAACTCCTGGGCCTAGCATCCAAGTGGCAAATGAGGAAAAAGCCATTTCCCAAAGTTTAGGAACTGAGCTGGGATGGGGGGTCGGGCTTCTGTGCTGACAGGAAGGGTGCACAAGGGTTGAGGGGCCCGTGTTCTGCTCCGGACCTAGCTCATGTGCTGTATGACCTCGGGAATCCCTTACCTCTCTGGACCACACACTTACATCTGTGCAGTGAGGGCTTTGGATTGGATGAATAGTTTGCCATGAGGAAGAACATTTTGGAACCCTCTCTTAATTGGAAATCTGCACTGAGTGGCTAGATTTATTATGATCTCTGAATGCTTAACCTGGCTACTCTGTGTGTGTGTGTGTGTGTGTGTGTGTGTGTGTGTGTGTGTGTGTTAGAGGCCCTGTGCATGAATTCGTGCATGGATGGGGTCTGGCCAGCCTGGCCCAGGGGAAGGGACATGGGTGGTTGGCCAGCCTGCCTGCTGGTTGAACTCCTGGTTGAGGGGATAATTTGCACATTAGCCTTTTATTATATAGAATATACACTGAGTGGCCAGATTATTATGATTCAGAGATCATCATCATCTGGCCACTCAGTGTATACAAACCCAGTATGAACCAGAGGGAACTGTTGTTTTTGTACGTTAAAAATGTCAACCATGTGCTGTGTCATAGGGTTTATCCCAGAGTTTCTCAACCTCAGGCCTGTTGGCCTTGAGGGTGGACATTTTGGGGGGCTGTCCTGCAGGGTGTTTGGCAGCATCTTGGGCCTCTACTCACTGGATGCCAGTAGCACAGTCTCAAGTTGTGGCAACCCAGCATGCCTTCAGACATTTCTGAATGGCCCCTGGGGAGCGGAGGGGAAATTGCCCCTGGTTGAGGCCCACCGTTGTAACCTAATAAGAAAATGGAAAGGCGAGATTTTCCTTTGAAGGGAGGTGGGAGGGAGTGGTACCCAGATCCGTTGTCTGTGGCCCCAGACACTTTTCTGATACATCAGTGTGTCAGGAGACAACGATTAAAACCTCATAGTCTCAGAGGCCAGAGTGTCTCTTAGCTCAAAACTTCCATGGGAATCCAGGGTCCACTTTCCAAGTCAGATTTTTATTTTACTTTAGTTTGTATTTTTATTGATTTCAGAGAGGAAGAGGAAGGGAGAGAGAGAAACATCAGTGATGAGAGAGAATCATTGATTGGATGCCTCCTGCACACCTCACACTGGTGATCGATCCTACAACCCGGGCATGTTCCCTGACTGGGAATCGAACCATGACATCTTGGGTCATGGGTTGACACTCAGCCATGGACCCACACCAGCCGGGCCAGATTTTTAGCTGGAAAAGCAGAGGAGGGAGCTGTGGAGGGATGGCCAGCAACCTCCTGAGTGCTTCCGGGCCCTGCTTCTGGAATGAATGTTTATTCGGCAAAGATTTATTGTGCTTTTATACTTCCTTCCGAGCGATCCTCCTTTATTCTGAAGTCGTTTGCTCTTTTTTTTTTTTTTTTTTTTTTTTTTCCTTTTGCTTCAACTATGTCTTGCCTTAATTTCTTCCAGAAACATCCTCACAGACACACCCAGAAATAGGCCCAGTCAAATTAATGCATAAAATGAACCATTACAGCAGGCTTGAACAGACCCTTCCCTTTGGTTTGGAGGGTGACAGACAAGAAAGGCCAACCATCCTGGACTGTGGGTGGCTTAGAGGGTCCGAGGACCATTTCTTCTCCTTTCCTGAAAACCCCTGTGCCCCTGGCCCGAAGGTGTCTTGGCTTTTTGGTCAGATTCGGGAACAGATCCCTCCTCCTGACCCTGGCTTCCTGACGGCTCTCCCCTCCCCCATCTCTGCCTCCAGGCAAAGCGCTTTGTTCCTCACTGCGGACCTCAGGGAGTGGTCTCTGGCAGTTGGATGCTCTAGGCAAGGGCCTTGGGCATGCAGGACACGTAGCACCCCGGAGACACACACTGGAGAAGAGCAGGGCGCTCTTGGCACACACGTGAGTGAGCAGGCCAGGCCTGCCGGTGCAGCCCGGGGTGGTGGGGGCTGGTCTAGGGATGTGGGAATGCCCTGGGGGCCCCCCACGCACAGACACCCTACCTTGTGAAGTCCCCACCTGGGTGAGCACCACCCTCCCCGAGGCAGGTAGAGTAGAACTTAGGAGCACAAGCTTCCTAATAAGAGTTTTCCTTTCAAATTCTGACCGCCATTTTGTGTCCAGGACCTTGGGCGAGATCATAACTTTTGGAAACATCAGTTCTGCCATATTTAAAATGAGGGTTCACTGCCTCTCTTAGGGTTGTCTTGGGGATTAAATGAGACCGTGTGTGTCGCCCTGGCACCCTGGGGGAGGAAAGTGAGAATCGTGGTCCTGGTCCCAGCCCTAGCCCCTCTTTCCCCCAGGATCCCATCATGCTGAGGAGGAAGCTGGCTTTTGTCCTCTCTAGAAGCCCCATAGCTGTAAGTCTTTTGGAAACCACCCGGGACAGAGTGACTTCAAAAACAACCACTTATTCGGCTCATGTTTCTGTGGGTCAGCCGTCGGCGTTGGGCTTGCTCGGGCAGCTCTTGCTGGTCTTAGCGAGGCTTGCTCATGCCTCTGTGGTCAGCTGCCAGTCAGCGAGCAAACCCCCATCCCTGAGCCTTCTGATCTCCTCCCCAGAGCTCTGCCGTGACAAGTCCAGCATCTCCATCTCATTTTCCGGGAGCTGTCCTGACGTCCGAGCTCCCGAGAGCCACTCCTGCAGCCCGTTCGGCCAGCCCCAAAGCGTTCTTTCAGGACGATAAATCCGGAGTCATGAGAACATTGCTCTTGCAGCTCGTTCTCTCCTACGCAGTCTCCTGCCTCATGCCCCGGTCCATCGCCCTCAAGATCCACCCCCACACGCGTTCTTCTGTTCCTACCAGGACACAATTGCCATCCGTGTGATTAACTCGGGGAAAAAGCCAATTCCTCCCAGAGAATGGGGCTCTATGGCTTGCTAGGGCTACGCTGAGACTTGGCCCTAGTTCTTGGGCTAGGACAGTGGTCAGCAAACTCATTAGTCAACAAAGCCAAATATCAATAGTACAACGACTGAAATTTCTTTGGAGAGCCAAATTTTTTAAACTTCTTCTAATGCCACTTCTTCAAAATAGACTCACTCAGCCAGTGGTATTTTGTGGAAAAGCTACACTCAAGGGGCCAAAGAGCCGCATGTGGCTCGTGAGCCGCAGTTTGCCCACCAGGGGGCTAGGGAAATACATGAAGTAGAGTGATCTTTTTTTAAAATTTTTTTTATTTATTTATTAATTTTAAGTGTTTATTGTTGAAAGTATTATATATGTCCCACTTTTTCTTCTATTGACCCCTTATAGCCCTCTCTCTCCCGCCACTGCCTCAGACCTCCACCATCCTATTGTCTGTGTCCATGGGTTATGCCTATATGCGTACAAATTCTTTGGTTGATTTCTTCCCACCTACCCACCCACCCACACCTTTCCTCTGAGATTCCACAGTCTGTTCCATGCTTTTATGTCTTTGGATCTATTGTGTTCAACAATTTATTTTGTTTGTTAGATTCCACATGTGAGTGAGATCATGTGATACTTGTCTTTCTCTGACTGGCTTATTTCGTTTACCATGATACTCTCCAAGTCCCTCCATGCTGTCTCAAAGGATAAGAGATTCTTTTTTTCTTTTTTTTTACTGTGGCATAGTATTCCATGGTATAGATGTACCACAGCTTTTTTTTTTTTTTTTTTAATATATTTTATTGATTTTACACAGAGAGGAATTGAGAAGGATAGAGAGTTAGAAACGTTGATGAGAGAGATACATCGATCAGCTGCCTCTTGCACACTCCCTACTGGGGATGTGCCTGCAACCAAGGTATGTGCCCTTGACCGGAATCGAACCTGGGACCTTTCAGTCCGCAGGCCGACACTCTATCTACTAAGCCAAACAGGTTTTGCCACCACAGCTTTTTTTTATCCACTCATCTATTGATGAGCACTTGGGTTGTTTCCAGATCTTAGCTATCGTAAATTATGCTGCCATGAACATAGGGGTGCATACATTCTTTCTGATTGATGTTCCGGGTTCCTGAGGATATATTCCTAGAAGTGGGATCACTGGGTCAAATGGCAGTTCCATATGAAATTATTTGAGGGAACTCCATACTGTTTTCCATGGGTGGTCCAGTTTTTCACAATCCCCACCACTCCCTATCACTCTCCTGACCAGCTGCATTCTCTGTTTGTTTGCTGCCTTCCCCGCCCCCAAAGTTGAGGTCTGAGTTGAGGTCTCTGGCTCACCTGAGCCCAAATCTACTTCTACTCTTCTGTGAGCCTAAAGCCTAACAAATGATGTTCCCCAGATCAAGGCCCAATCTTCAGCTGTTTATGCAAATCAGAACAGGAAAGTCTTGCTTGGCCAAGTCCTTCCTTGAATCTTGGCCTGATGCTATGCTTCACCAATCTTGTGACCGGTGTCTGCAGGCTCAACATTTGTCTGCTAACGGAAGGCTCTTTCTTGTCTCCGACGGAAGCTCTGTGAGGCCGGCAGCAGCTGTGGATGTCCAGGGAGCACAGGCGGGCCAGCCAGATGAGTGGAGAGTGGGTGCACCCAGGCCAGATCCTGGTCTGGGCTGTTTGGGTCCTTGCAGTTGCCGCTGAGGGTGAGACCCTGTGGGAGAGAAGGGCTCTCAGGAGATGAGGTAGGAGGGAGATTTCCCTATCTTGGAGGATTGTCCACTGTGGAAATGGAATGACTGCTCAGGGGTTTCTGAGGGCCCACGGTGGGCTGTGTAGTCACCTCAGGGCACTGACCCATGTCCTGGTGTTGAAAGCCCCAGGGCCCGGGTCTCTTCCTGGGGCCACATGGTAGAGCACAGAAGACCCTCAGTGCTGCCCTTGAGTTGCTCACACCCTGTGAGGGGCTTAGAGAGCCCTCTGTCCTGGCACAGAGCCTGTGCTTTTGTGGTGCTGGCTGCCCATGCAGGAGCTTTACTATTTTAAAATATATATATTTATTGATTTTTTTTTTTACAGAGAGGAAGGGAGAGGGACAGAGTGTTAAAAACATCGATGAGAGAGAAACATCAACCAGCTGCCTCCTGCACACCTCCTACTGAGGATATGCCCACAACCAAGGTACATGCCCTTAGACCAGAATTGAACTTGGGACCTCTACAGTCTACAGGCTGATGCTCTATCCACTGAGCCAAACCGGCCAGGGCAGGAGCTTCACTATTGAAATGAGCTTAGCCGAGGTAGCACCAACACCCCTGGTCCCATTAACTCAATAGCCGAGCTGCTAACCTCCGAAGGCTCCACATTCTACTCAGGCACAGAAGTCTCACCCTCAGACCCCAGGAGGCACACGGGCTGATTGCAGGTGGTATCTGCATGAGAATTTCCTATTTTCATTGTTGAATATTTACTTTACTCAAAAGCATACACCTAACTCAGCAAAATCACCACTCCGTAAGTGTGCTTGCTTAAGACTCCTCTAGGTAAATGTGAAAAGTTCATTGAGATTTAATTTTAAGAAAAACGAAGTGTCAGTCGCCCTATAGGTAGGTGATGCACAGACAATTGGTGGGCTATGAAAATGACGGACGTGTGGGAAACCCTGGGCCCGGTGATTCTGTGCAGTCCCAGGCTCTGCAGGGCCTGGTGAGTATTGTCGGTCCCATAGAAAGGGAGGCTTCTGGGCCCAGAAGGGAGAAGGGTTTCCATGGTAACCAGGGGACATATGGCTTGGTGCTGTGTTTCCAGGAGAGACTATTTGTGCTCTGATGCAGGTGACTTCGGAGGCAGATTTGAAGGGGCAGTGGACGTGGGTTCCTGGAGAAGGAATCCAGATACTTCCTGTTGCACCGCTTCTGGGCCCAGAAAGAGCGCCCCCACCTGGGGGAGCTCTGAGTTGGGCTTGTCCCTGGCCTCTTCCCAGCCAGCTCCTGATTCCTCCCCATGTGTGTTCCCTTAGGGCCAGCCGGAGACGCACCCACCAGGAACACCAGGCTGGGCTGGGTCCGGGGGAAGCAAGCCACGGTGCTGGGAAGCGCCAGGCCTGTGAATGTGTTCCTCGGGCTCCCCTATGCTGCACCCCCGCTAGGACCCCTGAGATTCACAAACCCACAGCCTGCGTCGCCCTGGAATGGCATCCGAGACGCCACATCCTACCCTAATATGTAAGACCGGGCTTGATCCCTCGGGTGGCCTGCAACCTGGAAGAGGGGGCAAAGCAATGAGGGGGAATAAAGGTCATGCAGCTCAATGGTTAGGAGGGAGGATCAGGGAGAAGGAGGAGGAGAGGGCTGCAGACGTGGCACCATTCAGAACATGCAGATCTCCTGAGCTCCCAACCAAACTTCCTGAATTGGAATCTTCAGACCTAGACAACTGGATTGTCTGAAGCTCTCTGAGGATTCTGAGTTCCATCAGGTTTGGGAGCCACTGTGATGGGCTTACTGATTGGAAGGAACAGTCAGCTAGGCCTAGTCTTTTTAAAAAATATATTTTATTGATTTTTTTACAGAGAGGAAGGGAGAGGGATAGAGAGCCAGAAACATCAATAAGAGAGAAATATTAGCTGCCTCGTGCACAACTCCTACTGGGGATGTGCCTGCAACCAAGGTACATGCCCTTGACTGGAATCAAACCAGGGACTGGGAGCTCTGGGGTACTTAGATACAGAGCCCTAGGCTCCTAGCTGCTCAGTGGAGCTGGGACTATGATTACCCTCCTAGGAGAAGTTCTAGGAAAAAGAAAAGAAAATGGGTAGGTGTTTCCGAAGGTACCTATGGTCTATCTGGAGAAATCTCAGAAGGCTTCTTGGAGGAGGCAGCATTTAGACAGCATCTGAAAGAAAGGGAAGAACATGAGCAAACAGAGGAAGACAGCAGTCTAGCCAGAGGGACCAGCTTGAGCAAAGGCCTGGGTGCAGGAGTCTCTCAGCCAACCTGCTTTAGTTGGTTTCTAGTAGAGAGGCCTGGGAATGTCCTTTTGTTCCTCTGGGGTCAGAAGAGCGGCCTGCCAGACCCAAGCTCTTGATTAGCAACCCAGTGTCCTGACCTCTACAGTCAGGGGAAGCGCTGAGCCAGCCGGGGGACTTCATGCATGTGTCTGGATTATGGCGGTGGGGGCTGGGGGTTAATGGTCCAGTCAGTATACACCATGTGCTTTCCCCTCCTGAGAACCAGATCAAAGAGAATCATGGTTTGTTCCTTTGTGCCCCTGGGTAGAGGGGGCACGATGAACTGTGCACCGAAAGCCCCCACAGGCATCTTCTGTGCACTCCCAGGAGACAAGTTTGCTGACAACAACTCCGGGGGTTTCTCCTCCTCTTTCCAAGGTGCTTCCAGAACTCAGATTGGCTGGTCTCAGATCAGCACATCCTCCTGGTGCGTTACCCCAAATTGGGAGTGTCGGAAGACTGCCTGTACCTGAACATCTTTGCACCAGCCGGTGCAGACTCCGGCTCCAAGTTCCCGGTAAGGCTGTCTGCGGTGCTGGGGGCAGGTCCTGGCAGAGTGGCTGGGGGGTCTGGAAGCAGCCCCAGCCTCCTATTGGGTAGAATGAAATCAATGACACATCAATAACTTCCTTGAAAAGTCATTTGAATGACGTCGTATTCACTTTACCATCTTTTCTTGACTTGACCTTTGGTTTTTATGTTGTTTTGGGTATCCCCCTCTGTTGAGTATTTAACGGTCTGTAAACATTTAGAGAAGGCGCTGCTTAAAAGGACCCTGATTATTTTTGTGCTTGTTTGCTTGAAAAATCCTTCCGTGAAAGAAAATAATTGCTTTCTCCCAAATTTTCTGTTTGCAATGAAGTCAGTCAGGTAATACCGCGAAGCATCTCATTTAAGAATGTGAAGGATCCCTGTGTAAGTCAGTAAACACCCTCCCATCATCTTTTCTCCCCCGTGCCAGTACAATGGGAGTCTCACTCTGTTGCATTAGAACAGCAATATCTGTTGATTGTTGACGTGTGCTAGGCACAGTACACTATCTATCGAACCCCCCGTAGTAAGCCAAAAGGTCAGGATTGTTGAATCCATTCTACAGATGACAAAGATGAGGCACAGAGAGAGAGAGTGTAAGCGCCTTGCTCTATACTCCACCCCAGTAAGTGGCAGATTCTTGTGTCAAAGCTGATGCTTTGTCCAGTTCTCCTTTTTCCTCCATGGCTTCCTTCTCTATTCCTGCACCAAGGATGGCAGTCCCTCATACAACCTTTATAATGGAGAATGGAAGGCATTTATTATTAAGTATAAATAGTGATAATAGCGTTTGAAAAATAGTTTATGTTCCCCAATCCCAGTTTTTCTAATCAATATAGTAAAGTTTCCACACTTCTCTTCCCTTTTTTTCTATCTTCTCTTCTCTTTGTAGGTAGACAAAGGCCTTAGATTAAAAAGCTTAAGCTGCTTTTGCTGTCATGCATGGCTTACAATGATCTCCATCTTCCTGTGGGTCACAGATTCAATATTTAGTTAATACTTTCTGAGCACTTGCAATGTGCCAACATTCTTCTAGGAACCTCAGATGGAGACTCTTGTTTAAACCTCCTAATAGCCTCATAACTGAAATACTTGGATTCTTTGCATCTTACAGATGGGAAAAATGAGGCTCAGAGAGGCTAAGTAATCTGTCCAAGGTCACACAGCTGGTCCATGGCAGAGCTCAGACTTAAACTCGGGCACTCAGATGCTGGAGCCCACATGCTTAACCCTGAGCCTTATTCTAAATACAAAACCTTGGATGCTCTTAGAAAGGAAGATTGCCTCTTCATAAGGAAAGGAGGACCTAGCATTAACAGGGAGGGGACGGGGATGTTCCTTCCATAGGCTGACCGGAAAGTTCCTCTCTCCTCCTCAGGTCATGGTGTGGCTTCCAGGGGGTTCCTTCCAGAGCGGCTCCGCCTCCATCTTCGATGGGTCGGCCCTCGCTGCCTATGAGGATGTGCTGGTTGTGACTACCCAGTACCGGCTAGGAATATTTGGCTTCTTCAAGTGAGTGCCCCCAAATGATTGACACCCCTCATCCCCAATGGCCATAGAGGATTCGGTGCCATTAGATTATCTTATCTAACCTCCTCCCCCCTAGGGGTTTGATAAGATAATGGAGGGGCCTTCAAGGACATTGAACAAATTTGGCCCAGATTATTACATAATTTTAGCAACTCTAACAAATAACCCCCACATATTAGTGGCTTAGAGCAAGACACATCTTTTTCTGACTTCAGTCAAATCTAATGGAGGGTTCCTGTTGGACAGACATCCTTCCAAATGGTCAATCAGGGACCCAGGCTCCTTCCACCTGTGGCTCTGCATTGGGCCAGCAGGTGGAGAAAGAGGTTGGAGGAGCCTTTCTGGGGCAGCCTGGGGGTGGCGATCATCACTTCTGTTTCCACACCACGGGCAGAACTCGGTCACATGGCCACACCCAATACAAGGAAAATGGGACAGCAAAACCCCTGGAAGTCAAGGACACAGAGTGTGTGAGCCATTAGTCGTCTCTGCCATAGGTCCCCGTCTCAAGGCTCCTCAGATGCTCACCTGAGAATGCTCACTGCATTCCATTGTCTTCCCACCCCATTCACTGTCACCCATCCTGGGAGCATGCTCTCTGCGTGCTCTGCAGCATGAGGCCATGGCCAGACCATGCCTCTGGGGTCAGACTCATTGGGTTTGAAGCCCAAATCTGCAGCATTTTAGGTCCTGGGCACGGGATTTGCTCTCTCTGTCCCTATTCCCTGTCTGTGAGAAGGAGCCGAGGTATCCAGCTTGTTTGCAGATTTCATGGAAGGGAATTCCTGTGAGCTAGGCCTCAGAAAAATGCAGCCGCTGCCCTAACAACCACCCAGCAGAGGGGGCCTCGAGTGGCATACTAAGCATAAACATACCGGTCTCTTGACATCCTACCCTCAGCCCCTGCTCCTTGCCCCCCACTGATCACACACATAGAGGTCAGCCTTTTAGCAGGAGGTGGAGAAGGTGGGGGTAAAGCCCGGAGAGGGGGGCGGGGAAGATGGAGAAAGTCCAGCACCATCGACCTCACAGGTTTGGAGGATTACAGGAGCATTGGCCGTAAAGCCCTTAGGACAGTGCTGCTGCTACTGTTATTATTGTCGTCATTCACTTAGTCGTTCATTGCAACCTCTGTGCCCAGGGAGGTCTCGCTCCTGATGCAGACCAGCTCTCAGGGGCAGGACTCTTCTGGAATCCATGGATTCAGGGGAGCCTATGAATACCCTGAAATTGCACTTATGACATCGTGCATTTTTCTGGGGTGCATAAACTTTCCTCAGATTCTCAAACCAAAATCCCAGAGAGGGAGAGAGCCACGCCTGGTGTTCCCCACCGCCCCAGGTCTGATTCTTAGCCCTTCCCTGGAGGGAGTGGTGCTTCCCTGACACCTGCCCGCAGTCTCGGCTGCCAGCTCCCAGTGGCCCACTAAGGATTCTCCTTCTGCCTCTTGTCCCCAGCACAGGGGACAGTCACGCGAGGGGGAACTGGGCCTTCATGGACCAGCTGGCCACCCTGACCTGGGTGAAGGAGAACATCGAGTTCTTCGGTGGGGACCCAGGCTCCGTGACCATCTTCGGCGAGTCGGCGGGAGCCATGAGCGTGTCCGGCCTTGTGAGTTTCCCTCCGGTGGGGGAGGTGGCAGCCACGAGGGTGAGGAGAGTGGCTCTGAGAGAGCACATGGCTTAGTGTGGTCTTCGTCAGCTCCCACCACGGTGTGCCGTGGCCGGGCCGAAAAGTGCAGGAGGCGATGGTGCCGCCCATCCGCCTCATCTTCAGATACGTGCAGAACAGGTCCCGGGTTCAGGGGTGACTGTATGAGCACGTGAATATGGGGATAGAAGGCTGTAACATTGGTTTTTTATTTTATTTTATTTCTTTATTGATTAAGGTATTACATATGTGTCCTTATTTCCCCATTACTCCCCATTCCCATTTATGCTCCACCGTTGTCTGTGTCCATTGGTTAGGCTTATATGCATGCATATAAGTCCTTTGGTTGATCTCTTCCCCTTACCCCCACCCTCCCCTGCCTTCACTGAGGCTTGACATTCTGCTTGATTTTGTTGAGTATGTGAACCTCGAATTTGATGAGTATGTGAACCTCATATTAGATGGTGCAGAGGAGATTCATTCTAAAACAAAGTCAAGAAAACTACTAGGTTGGATCATGCTCAAAGGAGGTGATGTCACTCTGCTCCAACGTGTCTCCACCTAGAAATGACTTAGCAAAGTGAGACATTATTGAGAGGCAACACAGTGTGTGTTTTGTAGTGTCCTTTGTTGGGAGAATAGTCTTACCCATTTATTCATATTGGCTTACAACCCCCTTATGTGACTACCAGATGACAGTAAAGGATGTTGAATTGTTTTTGTTAAAAAACAGAAAGAAAGAAAGAGGGTGATGAACCACGTATATCTGATTGGTGCTTCATGTTGAACAAACACTTTCATACACACGGTCTCCCTGGAGCCTCACACTGTGAGTCAGGGGCTCCTTCTCATTTTAAGAACGAGAGCTGTTGTCCAAGATCAGCTAGTGAGTGACAACTGGAGGAAAACTCATTTATGTGCATACAGCTGAAGGCCTGGTGTCCAGTTATCAGGACTCGTCATCACTGACTAGAGCTCAGCTCAGAGGATGCATGTGAACATTTTCACTTGAAACATAATAGGCGCCTTCCTTTGCCAATAGTTTGGTGCAGGGTCTTACTTTCTAGAGTCAGTCTGCTGACTAGAGGCCCAGCAAGACTCTTCTGCATAACACGCTCCCCCCCCCCCCACACACACACAGGATCCATTGCACTTAAATTGGGGGTTCATTGTCCTTATGGTGAACACCCACTTAAAGATGCTGCAAAGAAATATGTGGATGCAGCCCACTTAGGGAGCTTTCTATCCCCTCACGTGATTCACTCTTGTTCTCCCTTAATTTGGCAGCCATATTAGTTAGCTACCTACCTCTATCAACTTACCCCCTCCCCCAAAAAAAGAAAACCACATTATTTTGTTTCCTTTTTACACACACACGTCCATTGGTTCCCATGATAGTTCACTGGCTGTGTAATGACAATGGCTAGTGTAAACTGACAAAGCAGCTCTGGAAGCAGACACATCTGGCTCTTGGCAAGAGATGGATGGGAAAAGAGATGTGCAGAGGGGCCGGAATAACGGCTCCAGGCTCTGCGTTCAGAGGGGTCAGTGCTTCCCGGACATCTGGTAACATGCTAACCACAGAAGTCGGTCACATGGAGTGGGTTAAGCTCCTGCTGTATAACATTTGACAACATACCAGGTATTCTTTACCTTCCATATAAAGTTATAAGGTGGATTACACCAACTTTACATAAGTGATAGCAGCCATCATTCACGATGCTTATTACCTAACCGAGCGCTGTGCGAAGCCTTCTGTATTCACACTTCTGCTCCTCCGAGCAAGTTTGTGATGTGGGCTCAGTTTTTTGTTTTTAATATACTTTGTGTTGATTTTAGAGAGGAAGGGAGAGGGAGAGAGAGATAGCAACATCAATGATGAGAGAGAATCGATTGGCTGCCTCCTGCACGCCCTCTACTTGGGATCAAGCCCGAAACTCCGGTACGTGCCCTCGACCAGAATTGAAGCCGGGACCCTTCAGTCCGCAGGCCGATGTTCTATCCACTGAGCCAAACCAGTTAGGGCAAGTGGGCTCAGTTTTTACTGCAGTTTTATAGGAGAGTAAATAGATGCTTAGAAATATCCAACAACTTACCTGAGGTCGCCCCATTGGGAAGTAAAGGGGCTAACACCTTCAAAGTTCATGAGAGACATGGGGCTCAGAGAAGTTAACTTGCCCAAACCTTCCCAACTAGTCCTCTAACCCCCCAACCCGGACTTTTCCTTCTCTGAGGTTAGCTCTCCAAAGCAGGCTTCGTGGAAGTTTTCCTTACAGAAGGAGTGGGTGGTGTGCGGTGGGAGGGAAGCCCCTGGATAACTCTTGTGGGGTCTCCTATGCTCTCTCTCCAGGTTCTGTCCCCACTGGCCGAGGGCTTATTCCACAAAGCTATCATGCAGAGCGGGGTGGCCGTCCTCCCCTACCTGAAGGCCCCGGTGGAAGAGAGGAATAAGGATGTAGGTATATGTGAATACCTCTCCGGCTTCCTCTACTTGGTCGGGTGTTGGCAGTCCATGGGCTTGGCCTTACTGACCATGACAGGGAATCTGACGCTGACTTGAGGTGAAACGTGTTGTTCCATGGAAGGCCTGGCTCCGTAGGAAATGGCCCCAGGTGCACAGTGCAATGCTGCTGGCGTGCATGTGTGTGCGTGCGTGTGTGTGCACGCGTGTGTGACAGTTCTCACATTGTATCCATCAATCTTTGCTTGTGATATATATCTTAGTCCCCTATACCTACTCTATTCCACCTAGAGTACTCTGATAAGATTCTGATGCTCTTGCCAGCTCAGTGAGAAATAACACTGTGACTTACTAATATTGTCTGGCAGGAGATTGGGTGGGGGGAGGGGAGGCATATGTCCCAGATGTTCGCCATCTGTCATCTCATCTTTGCACTCTGCCAGACAGTAAGGACCTGGAGACCAAGGCCCCTGTCTCTTCCACGTCTCAGCATGACGTCTGGTGTACGTTAGGCGACTCTAGACGTTTGCTCGAGGAATGAGTTCATGAATGAATGTTAGTTAAACAATGGGCCTAGGAGCCACCTCCTGGGTGATATTCATGTTAGCGGTGCATTTTCTTAAACACCTTATGGAAGTTAACAACGTACACCAAGAGCCAAAACAGAGTCATAATATTGCAAAAATACACTCATTGCAGGCGGAAAATTGATTTTGGTGACGTGATATACATACCAGACTAGTTTCAGTGTGTGTGGTATGTGTGTATTCATCCACCACACACATAGGGAGTGCCCACTGCTTCCCTGCTCTGTGTTGGGACCTGTGGGTTTAGAAGTAGAGAAGGCACATGCTATGAGCATTTTGTGACAAGGATTTCAGCCCGCAATCCATGGGTATGTTTGGAGGTGGTCCTCAAACTCTTACGAGGGCTTTCATTGGATTCTCAGAGCATCTGTGATCCCAGAAGACTAAGGACCACTACTTCCAAGGGACGCATTCTACACACGTGGAAAGTTCAGTGACAGGGCAGGAAGGGGTTTAGCAAAGGGCTGGCTGGGAAGAGAAGGTGGGGACCTTGGGGTGATGGGAGATCAGAGGAGGAGGGGATTCGTGGAAACTGCAGTGTCTTATAGGACATCTGAGAGAAGGTGGGACATGGGTTTATAGAGTGAGACAGAAAAAAAAAAGACGTCAGGAATATTCCAGGCTGGGGGTGAGGGTGAGGCTAGAGCAGAGCTGACCAGCAGAGACTCTGAGCTGGACTCAGGTCTCAATAGACCTTGCAAAGCTGCTCCTCTCCCTTGGGGACTCCTGACTCCATGCGGCACCTCAGAGTGGGGCTTCTGGGCTCTGTGGGGCCTACTGCCAATGGAGCCAACATCACAGGCCTGTGACATCACAGGTCCCGCCATGACCAGGAATCCTGACTCTATTCCATGGGCACAGACTGGCAGATCCTCACTCCCAGCTCTTGCACTTGCTAGAGATGACAAGGATGGTCCAGCGAGAGCGTACAGATGACCCCGGGCCAGCCTGCCCTCACGGTGTCCATTCTATGACAGGGACAGGAGAACGGGGAGGGCCAGCAGGCTGGGCATCTTATAGGAAGGACCACCCTGGACAGATACTGTTTCCACGTTCCGTTTTCCCAGAGGCTGCCTGTGCTGTGCTCTCACCTGGTCTTCCTCTGCCAACAGCTGCAGGTGATTGCAAATATCTGCGGTTTCAGAGCGATCGACTCGGTGGCCCTGCTGCGGTGCCTGAGGGCCAAGTCCTCCCAGGAGCTGCTGGGCATCAGCCAGGTGAAGGGTCTGGGCAGGGCTGCTCTTGGAGTAGAATGGTGGACAAACCTGACCGCTCTTCCTTCCTTTGACTGGGGACTTGAAAAGGTATGGGAGTTGGGGATTCATGGTAATGGCTGTGAAAATGTGGACTTGTAGGTCATTAAAAAGATATATACACTTTTATTGATTTCAAGAGGAAGGGAGAGGAAGAGAGAGAAACAGCAATGATGAGAGAGAATCATGGATCGGCTGCCTCCTGCATGCCATCTAGTGGAGGATCAAGCCGGAAACCTGGGCCTGTGCCCTGCCTGGGACTCGAACTGTGACCTCCTGGTTCCTATGTCGTTTCTCAACCACTGAGCCATGCCAGTTGAGCTGCAGGGTAAAAGCTAGCTGGATAGTACTTCCAGAGCTTCATTCAGTGGGCATTTGCATTTCTAACAAGTTCACAGGTAACACGGCTGCTGCTGGGAGCCAGGCTTTGAGAACCACTGGGCCAGGCTGCTCTTTCTTGTAGGTGGTTCCTGTGATTACCCCTTATTTGCCGATGAGGAAACTAAGGCACAGAGACGCTGACCCCCTCGCCCAGGCAGCCGGATATATGGGGACCAAGACTGGCTCAATTTCCCTTTACTGCCACATTTTGCTGGCGTGGGTTGGCTCAGGGAGGCTGGGGTGTGGGGCCGGCAGGTTTTGCAAACAGAGACAGCTTCCGCCCTCTCTCATTTCAGATAGCCAAGTCTTTCACGCGAATGGTGGATGGTTTATTCTTTCCCGAGGAGCCTATGGAGCTGCTGATTAAAAGAGCATTCCGTCCGATTCCTTCTATCATCGGGATCAATAACCACGAGTGCGGCTTCTTGCTGCCCATGGTAAGAAGTCCAGCTCTGCCTCCTGTCGCTCCCTCTGCAGAGGGCCAGGGGTTTGCTCCCACAGCCGGCCGCTCGCCCTGATGACACACGTGTTGTGAGGAATAGAACCCACCCGCCGAGCACAGAGTGGCCGTCCTTCCTCTCGGAAGGTGACTGGGGATTGGGGTGAGGCAAGGCAGATGTCTGCCCCGTTTCTTGTTAGCAGTGGTCGGCAAACTCATCAGTCCACAGAACCAAATATCAGCAGGACAACAATTGAAATTTCTTTTGAGAGCCACATTTTTTAAACTTAAACTTCTTCTACTGCCACTTCTTCAAAATAGACTCACCCAGGCCATGGTATTTTGTGGAAGAGCCACACTCAAGGGGCCAAAGAGCCGGCTCTCGAGCCGCAGTTTGCCAACCACTGCTCGTTAGGTTTACAGTGAAAGAAACAGCTCTGTATAAAACAGTAAGAGACAATGGGGTCCGTTTGAGCTCTGTTCAAAACACCACAAATGCTCATTTCAAATCCTGGTATGCACAGTTCCTCCTTCGAAGGTATTGAAGTCCATGCAGGTTCGGAAAACTTCAGGCCTTTACACCTTCATGTTCTGGCATTTGGATGTCCAAGCATGCTCTCTAAGCTGGTGCATTATGCAAGCTGCAAAATCATCAACTCCTTTCGTTCATCCCATACGAATGAACTGAGCACGTGCTGTATGCTCCGAGCTCTTATAAAACCCAGGATGGCAACAGTGAGCACGTCATACGGATTCAGGTTTCTGCACACCTCCATGACCCCCTGGCTCCTAGGTCAATGCTCAACTACTGAGCCACACCGGCCGGACACAAATGCCCTCTTCTGATGAGGACATCGGTCAAATTGGATTAGGGCCCAGCTAGCATCCTCATGTTAACTTCATCACCTCTTTAAAAACCCTGTCTTCACACATAGACACATTAGGAGGTCCTGGGGTTAGGGCTTCACCATAGGAATGTGTGGGAGACACACACACACACACACACACATAGCCCGTAACGTGGCCTTTCCACAGGGCTGCCACGGGGTCCCACAAGACTACAGGTGTAACAGATGGCTGTCATAGCAAATCAGAGGAGAAACTGTCACTTACCCGATGCACGGAAGCTTCTTCTCCCCATGGCCCCTGGGGCCTGGCAGGGTCACTGCTCTTCCCAGCCTCCCCTCACAGAGACCAGCTTCCCTTCCAATGACTTGAGGTGCTCACAGGCGCCCGCTTCTCTCCACAGAAGGAATTCCCTGAGATCCTCAAGGGCACCAACAAGTCCCTCGCCCTGCAGCTGGTGCAAACACTCCTGGTAAGAAAATTCTGGATTCCCAAACCCACCTGCGACCGGGGACTCATATTGGCTGCATGTCTGCTGGGCTGTGGACTGGGTTCTAGCAATACTGAGGGCCATTCTACCATTCGTTCATTTCTTCCCTGCACACCTGCATCCTTCCTCCCTTTCTTCTTTCCATAAGCATTTATTCAGGATGTGCTCTGCGCCAGATTCGTTTCACCCACTTATTCATTGATCAGATGTTAAGTGGGAGTGCACATGCCCCGCGCTTCCCTAACACTGGGCACAGTGATACACAGGCAAGTCTCTGCATTTGAGGAACCTGTGGGCTGTTGGGATGGACAAACCTGACGAGACATTTCCTGCACCAATCAAGGCAGAGTGAGTCGCGCCAGCACAGCCAACTGTTCAGCGAGCTGAGGGAGGGTGGTACAGGATGAAGAAAAGACAGACAAAGAGAATAAGCTGGGTCTAGGTGGATCTTCTGTGCCTGGCTGAGGCCACAGAACAGATCCAGACTGCAAGCTGATGCTTTATTTATAATCGGGGCAAACAAGGTAATTTATAATGTTCTTGTAAGTTTCACTTGTTTTGGCAGCACTTGCTGCCCCTCCCACTAGCTACCCAGGAAGGATCTGGGGAGCAGTCACAAGATCAAGCTTAATTATGCTTAGAGGACTGTGCCCTCCAAGCTGGGACTGGTCCATGGTGTCCATAGGAGGGAGCAGTTGGCTAGCTCAGGGGAGGGGTTTGGAGTTTGAGTTAGGTTTGTCTGGCAAATGGAGGAGCAGGGCTGAGAGAAGCCAGCGGAACTGAGAGAACCGGGGAGGGGCAGATAAGTGTGAAGAGGTCAGTGGAAGGGGTCAGCTGCTGCGTATGGAAGGCAGATAAGGTTCCATGCCAGGGGCTGGGAACAGAAGAGCGACATGATTCCATGTCCATTGGGGAAAGGGTTCTGTGTCTGCAGTGTGGGCCGGGCTGGAGGCAGGGGTGCCTCAGGCCCTGAGGCTTAGACAGGATGTTAGATGAGTCATGGCTGCTGGGACTAATATGTGAGCGAAGGCCCAGAGGCAGCGTTGGTACCAGGGGCAGCTTCACGGGCATGGGATCTGTGTAGTGCACAGGGCCTTTTGCTCAGAAGGGTTCTACACGTGGTTGGATGTCCTGTTGTCACCATCTTGAATTCCTGTAAGTTTGGAACCATTTTTCACTTGGCATTGAACATTTTTACTTGGTACTGGGTCCTGCACATGGCATAGCCAGTTCTGCCCAGGGGTGGCTGTTTCTGAAACATTTCAGAGAGGTCTGTGTACTGTGATTAAGAGCATGGGATTTTAAAAATATATATATTTTATTGATTTTTATTTTTTTATTTTATTTTTTTTACAGAGAAGAAGGGAGAGGGATAGAGAGTTAGAAACATCGATGAGAGAGAAACATTTATTAATATCAGCTGCCTCCTGCACATTTCCTGCCGGGGATGTGCCTGCAACCAAGGTACATGCCCTTGACCAGAATCAAACCTGGGACCCTTGAGTCCGCAGGTTGAGGCTCTATTCACTGAGCCAAACCAGTTAGGGCAAGAGCATGGGATTTAGATGCAAATAGTCTTGTGAAAGAATCATGGTTCCACCAGTATGGGGCCAACCAAGCCTCAGTTCCCTAATCTGTGAAATGGGGCTGGTTCTGATCATTTGCACCACAGGCTCACTGTGTGGATCCCACGGGGCAGTGCATGTGGAGCACTCAGCACCACGCCTGCACAGGCAGAGGCCCCACGTGTGGGCCGCTGTCACTGACCTGGCTCTCCTGTGACTGTGATCTTTTGCAGCACATGCCCAGCCAGTATTTACACTACGTGGCGGATGAGTATTTCTACGGAGAGCAATCCATTTTTGAAATACGAAATAACTTTCTGGACTTGCTTGGAGATGTGTTCTTTGTGGTCCCGGGGCTGGTCACGGCTCAAAATCACAGAGGTGAGTCCCTGAGCCACCTCCCTGCAGGGCCACAGCACAGCAAGGCTGGTGCCTGCGGACCGCCCCTGTTCCGCCCTCTGTTCCCTCACTGAGGGGACCTCTCAGGGGTGTCTGGGGTATAACCGTGAAGGCCAACTTGTGTAGCTGTCCTGCCTTTCAGAGATCAGGAATGTTGATCAGTTCTTATTGTTTGTGTTCCTTCTGCTTCTTCAGGGCCCACCTCCCCATCATTTTCTGGGGCCCAACTTCCAGGTTACTTTCTGTTTGGAAATGTCTTAGCTATAAGGAGGGCGGGAGCATTCAGAAAGAGAAGATTACTTGTGAGGACACAGACCCACTCTCCCCCCCCCCTCCCTCTCTCCTTCCTTTCCTCCCTTCCTCCTTCCTTTTTTTCCTCCTTCCCTCCTCCCTCTCTTCCTTCCTTCCTCTCTTCTTTCCATTATCCTTTCCTTTCCTATAAGAGACTCACTTTAAAACTAAAGATGCAAATAGGTTGCAAGTGAAAAGAAGGAAAAAGATATTCTATATAAGCAATATCCAAAAGAAAGTGGGCATGGACCTCTTCATGTCAGACAAAAGAGGCATTGGGCCGAAGCCGGTTTGGCTCAGTGGATAGAGCGTCGGTCTGCGGACTGAAAGGTCCCGGGTTTGATTCCGGTCAAGGGCACGTGCCTTGGTTGCGGGCACATCCCCAGTGGGGGGTGTGCAAGAGGCAGCTGATGGATGATTCTCTCTCATCGATGTTTCTGGCTCTCTATCCCTCTCTCTTCCTCTCTGTAAAAATCAATAAAAATATATTTAAAAAAACAAAACAAAAAAACCCAACAAAACAACAAACACCCAAAAGCTTCCATTTAGAAAAATAATAATAATAAGAGGCATTGGGATGAAATGGTCACAGGGAATTGTTACAGACTAAAAGAGACAGAGAAGCACAGCATAGCAAGATAGAAGAGTGAATTCATCCAGATGATACAGCAGTTTTCCATCCATGGGCACCTTACCACAGAGCCCCAACATGTATAAAGCTGACAGATTTGAAGGGAGAAATAGTTTTGCATCAATAGTTGGACACTTCACCCCCACTGTTAATAGCTGGGTCAACTCTAAAACAAAAAAAACAAAAAAAGAAAACAAACAAACAAAAAACAAAACAAAAACACAGGCAAGGAAATAGAAGATTTGGACAACAGGCCAGGGCCCTTCTTCACAAGTACGCAATGCGCATCCTCCGGAAGAAAGCATACATTGGGCCACAGAACAAGTCTCAGTAAGTTTAAAAAGATGTAAACCATCCCTAGTACCTTTTCCAACCACGATGAAAGGAAATTAGACATCAATAACAAAAGGAAATTTGGAAAATCAACAGATATTTGGAAATTAAACAGCACACTCCTTTTTTTTTTAACATTTAAAAACTTATGGCAAAATACGTATCACCAAAAAAAAAAATTAGCATTTCAACTATTTTTAAACATATGGTTCCGTGAGATGGAAGTTCATTCCCGTTGCTGTGCAGCCGTCGCCACCATCCATCTGCAGGACTTTTCATGATCCTGAACTGGAACTCTGTCCCCATGACACAGGGGCTCCTCACTCCTCTGTCTCTGTGAATTTGGACTGTTGTAGCTACCTCAGCTAAGTGAAATCAGGCAGTGTTTTTTTCTTTTGTATCTGGCTTAATTCACAGCATAATGCCTTTGATATTTACCCAGGTTGTCCCATGTATAAGAATGTCATTCCTCTTAAAAAATATATATATATGTTTTTATTGATTTCAGAGAGCAAGGGAGAGGGGGATAGAGAGACAGAGAGAGAAATATCAATAATGAGAGAGAAGCGTTGATTGGCTGCCTCCTGCACGCCCCCTACTGGGGATGAGCCCACAACCCAGGCATGTGCCCTCGTGCCTTCAGTCCACAGGCTGACGCTCTATCCACTGAGCCAAACCAACTAAAGCTGAACAGTATTCCACGGAACCACCTTTTGTTGACCCCTTCAGCATCCACAGACATTCGGGTTATCTCTACCTTTTGGTTACTGTGAATAATGCTCCCATGAGCATTGGCATACAAATATCTGTTCAAGTTCCTCCTTCCCGTTAGTTCGGGAGCATGTCCAGAGGTGGGATTGCTGGATCGATGGTAATGCTACGTTGCACGTTTTTTTTTGTTTTGTTTTTTTTTAGAAACCACCATATTGTTGTCCACAGTGGCTGCAGCATTTTAGGTTCCCAGCAGTGCACAAGGGTTTCCGTTTTTTCTCCACATCCTCCCAGCACCGGTTATTCACTGTGTGTGTGTGTGTGTGTGTGTGTGTGTGTGTGTGTGTTAAACAATAGTCATCCTATTCGGGGCTGTGAAGTAGTGCCATTCTCGTTATGATTTGCTTTTCCCTAATGATGAATTTCTCTAATGATTAGTGATGTTGCTGCTTTAATGGGACACTTCGTAAGCATACCCACCCTTATCCGGGAGAGGAAAATAAAAAGGAAATTCAGAGAAAGAGGGGGAAGCTAGAGCACAAAGGCCTGTCTTGGAAGAGGGCTGGAGGAATGTGGGGTGCACAGGGGCATCTCGGAAACAGGGATTGGCTTTGTCCTGTTTGTCATGGGCCTCTCAACTGGGTCAATGAGAGGAAGTCACGGGAGGTAGACCGCGGGGCCACGCGAAGGGCTTCTTTTGAAAACGAGAACCGTTGCCCTTGCAGCCTGCCTTGGACGGGCATCAGCTCTTTGCCACCAGGGCTGCGGGGGCCTCTGGAGCAGGAAACGCTGGTCTGCAGGAGGGAAGAGGGAAGGCAGCTTTGTTCAGGTCGCTTCTTGTATGGGGGCTGTCCCCACCCACAGGGTTGGGAATTGGGGGCGCTGCCACCGGCTCTCTCCCCTTCGCTGCAGATGCGGGCGCCCCCGTGTACTTCTATGAGTTCCAGCACCGGCCGGACAGCTTCAAGGACAGCAAGCCGGCTTTCGTCAAAGCCGATCACACGGACGAAATCCGCTTTGTGTTTGGAGGGGCCTTCCTGAAGGGGGATGTGGTCATGTTCGGTAAGGAACCCGCCTGGTTTGGGGAGACTGTGGGGAGGGGGGGCTCTGCTGGTCTTGCAGGAACATGGTGGGGGTGTAAGGTGGGCAAAGACAGGCCTCCCCACCGTTTGCCAAAGTCCCTCACCCACCCCAACACTGCAAGCGCTGGAGGACTAGCTTTAATTTATTTGTTTAGTCCGTGGCTTATAAACGTGACCTTCCCTGGAACATGCCCTCCTCGGTGCTTTTAGAAACCACGACACGAACACCGGCTGCTGGATGAGTGTTCCTTGTTGTACTAAAGCCTTAAGGGGCAGGCGCTTGGGGGCAGTCACGCATCTAATTTAGAAAAATAATCATCTTTGGCTGCTGGTCTCACCCGCCTGCCCTTTTCAGAACCCTGTGGGGCTAGCACCCAGGGCTTTAAAAGGCAGGAACCTCCTTCTCCATCATCGCAGCCCCAGGGGCCCCGATCCCGGCGATCTCGTGTAAATGCCATGGGCTGTTCCTGCTGAGGGTCTCTCGTGTATCCCTGAGTGGATGGCCCGTTTGGTGCCAACCAGATGAGGTCGTCAGTAGAAACAGTGACAGGAACGGCACCCAGAAACTATCCCTAAAACACTTCCGTTTTAGACAGTTGCGAAGGCAGGCTCTTGGGCAGCTCCCAGTGGCCTCCTGGCAGTGAGGACAGAGGGGCTCCCGTAGAGGGTACGCGTGCGCGTATTCATTCCTTCATTTGTTCATTCTCGTCTTATCACACCGATCATAGCAACCACCTCCTAGGCCGCCACGGGGGTGAAATGAAATAATTTGCACAAGCACACTTTTATTATTACTCAGCAGCCATGCAGAGCCTGGACTATTGATGCGTACACAGACGCTCCACATTGGGGGCGGGGGGATACAATGGCATAGGTGTCAGAGTTTTCTAAAGAGCTTCTGATGAGAAAAGAAGCCGGGTAACAGATAGAAACAGTCTATGGGAAAGGAAATATGAAAGGCTTTTAAACGTGAAAATATACTTGGCCTCACTGTCAACAAAGGGACTGAGGGCTTGTCAACGAAAATCTGAAATACATATGGTCTTTAACCTCGCAGGTTTATTTTTATTTTATTTGTGTGTGTGTGTGTGCGTGTGCAGTTATACTTCCACATGTGCAAAAATAAACCTGCTCACTGGTACATTGGTTTTACTAGCAAAAACCCCCAAAGAAATAATGTAAAAATACCTTAGTAGAGTACTGGATACAAGAATTATATATTTATACCAGTGGCCCAGTGCATGAAATTCATGCATATTAAAAGGGAATTAATTAGAGGAAACATTTTAATATTGCTATTTGCCCTTTCTCTATAATAGAAGTGTCAGAGATGAAAGAAAATTAGTTAAATGTGTATGAAAATCTCCCTCCTGTCAGAGTCTGGGGTGGGCCTCGGGACTCAGAGTTAAGTCTTCACCCACCCACACGTGCCTTGAAATTGCGTGAGACCCAGACCTAGCCAGCCTCATCCCCGTCAAGCCCTGCAGAGTGGGGAGTGCAGCCTCAGATCCCCCAGACCAAGCATGAGAGCGTGACAACCATTTTGCATATTAGCTCTTTATTATATAGGATAACTGCATATAAACATACATGTAGGGTGTCCCAAAAGTATATACACACACTGTGAATATCTATAGAGGCAGTGTTTATTAAAGTACATTTCATTTTCAAAATTAAGCTATCAGCTGTTACAGTATGTATACATTTTTTTTGGGGGGGGGACATACCGTTTTATAGAACAATAAATGATAGTAAGTGGAAGTTTTATAGGCAACACTGTGGAACTATCTCCAAGATAGAATTGTAGTAAAAAAAGAAGATGCCGAATTCGTGTTCATTATGCTACCCTAGTATAAAAATGTGTCTGCCTAACCCTTGTACATGCCCAGTCGGCCTCCAGAGGGCGCCCAAGAACCTGGTAGCAATCACTGCCTCAGGCTGGGAACAGTGGAGAGAAGAGATGGGAGGGAAGCTAATTTGTATTAGATACTCTTCCTGCACTTCAGGCTTTGTGCTTTGAACATGATGCTTTGAGCATGACTCCTTCAAATAAAGAAATGCAAGCCTTGGAGGAGAGAGTGAGGGTCCCTGTTCCCCAAGGCCCTGTAGCCTCAGGGGAGCGGCTGGAGGAGCATTGTGCACAAGGAAGATGTACTCGGAGGCCATGCTTTCTCAGGCAAGCCGCAGGTGCCCTGAGCCCCCGTATATGCAAAAGCAAAATGAGTTACCCGGCAGGGGGGATGTGAGAGGCATTCATAAGATGCGAGGCACCTCGGCACTGCACCTGGGAGCCGGACTTTGTGATTATCTCCCTCAGAGAGAGCCACCGAGGAGGAGAAGCTGCTGAGCAGGAAGATGATGAAATACTGGGCCAACTTTGCGCGGACGGGGTAAGTATGCCTCGGGGTCTCCCACACCTGGCGCTTAAGGATGGAAAGCTCACCACCCACATTTCTGCTCTCCCAGGGATCCTAACGGAGCTGGCCTGCATTGGTGGCTGGCTTACGATAAGAACGAGTACTACCTACAGCTGGCTCTGAACATGAGTGTGGGACAGGGACTGAGAGCGCAGAAGCTGAAGTTCTGGAGGGAAACCCTCCCCTTGATCATGTCCAAGTCCGGATAGCTGGGTCCTCTTTTCTCCGTAATCTTTCTTTCCCTGCTTCTGCCGTTCTTTGCCTCTTCTTCTCATGGAGGAGGGATCTCCGTGTGAGTTGGATTTTCCTCCTCTGCTGCAATTTCTCCCGCTATCATTGGCTTCTTTCTGTTGTTCAGCTGCTTTAAGGAATCAGCTGCTTTCGCTGATCCTTAGGGAATTCTCAGCAACATCAAAAGAGTGCAATTTGCTTTGAAGGCCACCAGATTTCTCCCATACATCTGCAGGGGGTAGGGGAGGGGGACTGGTCTCTTAGTTGGCATAATAATGATCGTGTTATGCATATGAAATAAAAGCAGAATGTAAAATACGTGTGGGGAACAGAATTTAATTCTGGGCTAAAAACTACACACACACACACACACACACACACACATACACATACCACCCAAGAGGAAGTAGGACTGTCTTTGCTCACCATGGTCTCCCAGTGGGGATTGCTGGTACACAGCAGGCACCCCATGTCGATTTCCTGAAGGATCAATTCGCCTCCACCCCATCAGGGAAACATCTCTTTTCCTTGGTGACCTTGCTGCCTGGAGTGCAACTTCTGCGTTCCTGACCTTAGAGGGTGTCTGGCTTCCATTGCTGAGAAGGAGGCTGGCTGCCATGCCTCCCTCCCCCACCTCTCTGAGCCATCGAAGAACCCTGTTCAAGCCAGTGATGGTCAGTGCATCCAAACTTGGTTGTGGCTGCAGCCTGCCTGGATGGGGTTTGGAAGACTCAAGTCTCCAAACAGATCACATAACACATGGGAATCAGGACCTTTGTGTACATTAGAGGCATCCTGTCCTCACTACCCCACAGACATCTTACAGGACCGGGTCACTGACAGAGGCGTGTAACCTGTGGCGTCAGCGGCAGCATCTCTGAAGCAGCGTCCAGATGCCCTGCACGGCTGTTCTCAGGGACCCTGACAGCACAGTCCGCAGGCCTGAGTGGCAATACCCCCACGACAAAGGCATGAGGTCTCAGCCTTCCACAGTCCCCACGACTCGCCCGAGGCCTGAGCCTGCCTTTCTCACTCACTGAGATTACCTGGCCTCCGAAGGTATTTAGGTGTGGAGCCCTGACCTCTCATTTTACAATAATCTGAAAAGGTGCAGGGATTCCCCCCAAATCCCTCAGTGAGCCAGGCCAGCGTGGCCCAGTGGTTGAACATCGACTTCTAAAGCAGGAGGTCACGGTTTCAAAATTCCCAGTCAGGGCACATGCCCGGGTATTGGGCTCCATCCCCAGTGTGGGGTGTGCAGGAGGCAGCTGGTCAATGAATGATTCTCTTTCATCGTTGATGTTTCTCTCTCTCTCCCTCCCTCCCTCTCTGAAATAAATAAAAATATATTTTTAAAAATCCCTTAGGGCCTTAACCTGTTTGGCTCAGTGGATAGAGCATCAGTCTTCAGACTGAAGGGTCCCGGGTTCAATTCTGGTCAAGGGCATGTACCTTGGTTGCAGCCACATCCCCGGGGGGGGGGGGGGGGGCGTGCAGGAGGCAGCTGGTCGATGTTCTCTCTCATTGATGTTTCTAACTCTATCCATCTCCCTTCCTCTCTGTAAAAATCAATTATATATATATATATATATATATATATATATATATATATATATATATATTTAAAAACCCTTAGGGAGTCAGCAGCAGGGCAAACCCAGGCCCAGAGTCTTGTCTCGCCTCTCTCAGGACTTGGCCCCTGGCTGCTGGGTTGTCTCCACTTTAGGTGACTGTGGGAGCGGTGGATTCGTGATGCTCCCGCCACTTTATGGCTCTGGAGAGAAGGGCTGAGCCACAGGCAAGCAAACTGGAACTTCTGTTGCTTCTGCAGCTGTGGAAGGCTGATTTCTACATTGACATTTCAGGGAACTAACAGCTAGAAAACACCACTTTTTAAAATACTATCCTATTAAGTGGCCCATTTTTAAACACCCATTTTTAAAATACTATCCTATTAAGTGGCATCCCGAATATTATTTCTATACTGCTCACAACCCCTGGGTCCTCAGATATGGTTGTAATCTTGGTAGGTGCCTTGCAAGACAGAGCATCTGTCCTTGCTTGTTCCCATCCACGTGCAATCAGATGTACCCCTGAATTAAAGTTGAGATATAAATGTCACCACATCCTGATTTCTTCTTTTAATTCAGGGTTTCTATCAGGGTGTAATTAGGAGACTGAGTTGGAGGGCTTTCCCAGAATTCCAGTGCCCGGGGCCACGCCCCAGGTCATCTGAAGCAGGATCTTCTTGGCTGGCTCCTGGAAATCCATATTTTCCGTTTTGAGGCATTCAATGCACCTCCCTGATCAAGATCTGAGTACTGTGGCTCCGTGGTTGAGCGTTGACCTATGAACCAGGAGGTCATAGTTCGATTCCCCCATCACGGCCCATGCCCGGGTTGTGGGCTCAATTCCCAGTAGGAGGCAGCTGACCAATGACTCTCTCTCATCCTTGATGTTTCTCTCTCTCTCTCTCTTTCCTCCACTCTGAAACCAATAAAAATATGTTTCAAAGTATATTTTTAAAAGAACTGTTGAGGATTAATATTGTGTCGCATGCATTTTCCAAGTTGTTGGAGGATCTTTATAAAAAAAAAACAAAAAAAAAAAACACACCAGCATGCACATCTGTCTATATCACTGTCTCTTTAGCTGCTAGCCGCTTCCTGGGCGTTTGTGGGCATCCTTTGATGAACAACTTTGAGAATGAGTGCTTTTAGTTAAACTTCTTTCTGGCATCTGGATTTACAGGAGATGCCCGGGGTCAAAGGCCATGCCCTTTTAAAATTATCCTTATGCTCTACAAATTCACTTCCCAAAAGGGAAGTCATATTCTTGGGAAACACATGCATTTCACAGTCACCTCTGCTTTCTCATCATAGAGAAAAATCAATTATTTCATTGCTTTCTAATTAAACATGTAGGTTTTTACAGAAAACCCTTTTCTTCCCCTCCCAAGCAATCTTGGATCTGAATCACTAAATCAAACCCTAACAAAAAAACCGCAGAAACAAACCAGATGCTTTTGCCTGTGAATTTCCTAATGGCCAAAAGAGGGCAGCATCACAAAAGGGGGGGGAAAAGGCTTCCCTCCCAGGCTTCTAGGTGGTTGTGATGGGATGGAGAGTGGAGAATCTGGAAGGAAAAGAACAAGTCAAAACAGTTCAATGGCAAGCTACCACCATGTATCCTCGTCCCTTCCCCCGTAGCGTCTGGAAGGTGAGACGGTGCTCTCTGACCTGGGAAGTCTGACTGAAGGAACTCCCAGGAGAGCAGAGGTTGGGCCGGCCTTGGTTTTCTTTCCTCCTGTTCATAGTCCCCATCAAGCCTAGACACCTCCTCCTCTCCCCTGTGGCGCCCTGTGTCTCCCTCAGGGCACTTTGGACTCTGGACCTTCCTGCCCAACCCCAAAGCCCAGCTCCCCTCCCTCTCAGCCCCTGGCCCTGCCTGCAGGTCAAGGTTTTCTCCTGGGCAAAGGGTGGGAGGCGAGCTCACCCATGCGCCCAGGACGCTGCCCTGCCTGGCGCTGCCCCGGACAGCACATACACAAGACAGACCTCCTTCCCACAGCGAGCTGGAGCCATTTGGCGCACACAGTCTTGTGTTCTGCTAAGAGTTTACGTTAAGAGTTTATTTTTATTCCTGGGAAGGAAGGGCATTTGTCACGATACAAAGCAATGTGTTGGCAAAGAGACTTGTTCTCCATGGACGGGTCAGAGTCCAAGTTGGGCCTTTAAGGTTGGACAGGATAGAGGCCAGCAAGGAGTGGTGGAAACAGCCATGGATGTTCAGTGGTGGCCGGGGGGGGGGGGGGGAGGGTTTGGAGTCCAGGGGGCAGCCCTGTGTTTGGCAAGGTGGCTGGAGGATACCTTGGAGGCCTAGAGGGGTAGCTTTTAACCTTGACCTGCAGGAAACAGACTTCTTTCTTTTTTGGGGGGTGGGGTGGGATGATCGATAAAACGTGAATTCATCTACCCAGCTAGCTGTCCATCCATCTACCTATTATCTATCTATCTAATCTATCTGGGCCCTTTTCCATAATTACACTTGAAGCCCTGTATACCTCCTGGAATTTTCCTGTATAAGACCCAATGCATTCAATATCTGCTTTAGGTAAGTTTAACTAGGATTTCTGTGAGTACATAACACTAGAGTCCTGGCCAGAATAATTGCACAGTTGACTATTTGCATTCTATTTCTATTTCTAATACTTACATAGTCTTTGGTACAGTTTCTGTAACAGTCTTGTCTCCTCTGTTAGATAGTATGTTCTGAAGGCCTGGAACACATTTTTAATGGAATATAATATACATGTAGGAAATGACATAGAGTATAAAAGGATATGAAGATTAATATGTAAATTAGTGTAACAATATTATATCTTATGCTAGAGGCCTGGTGCATGAATTCATGCACCAGTGGGGTCCCTCAGGCTGGCCTGTGGGATCAGGCTGAAACTGGCTCTCTGACATCCCTTGAGGAGTCCCAGATTGAGAGAGGCTGTAGGCCAAGCTGAAGGACCCCACCAATGCAGGATCGGGACTGAGGAGGGATGTGGTAGGTTGGTCAGCTGGACCGTGTGTGGACTCCAGGCATGTCCCGCCCATCTCGTTCAGTCCCAATCAGCTAGACCCCCTTTACTTTCCATGACAGAGTGTCTGCCCCCTGGTGTTCAGTGTACATCATAGTGGTTGAGCGGCTTTGGCATATAATTAGCATATTACACTTGGAATGGATGACCGGACACATAGTATATTAGGCTTTTATTATATAGGACTAGAGGCCTGTTGCAGGAAGATTCCTACAAGAATAAGGCTTCCTTGGGCCTATTCCCATCTTCAGTCTTTGTTCTGTGCCTGGTTATGCAAATTAACCACCATCTTGTTTGGTTAATTTGCATACTTGCTCCTGATTGGCTGGTGGATGTGGCTTGTGGGTGCTGTGGAGATGCGGTCCATTTGCATGTTTCTCTTTTATTAGATAAGACTAGTTTAGTAATATATAATGTAGTATATATGTTCTCTATATATTATATATGGTGCCCTGATGAATTGCCACTGACTGGTCATGCTGTGTACCCAGCCCCTAGAACAAGGCACAGGAGATGGTCAGCATCCCAGCATCTGGAACTCAGGTCCAGGCCCTGCCCCATCCCGTCTGTCCAAGATGGTCACCTCCATCCTGACTTCTAGCAGCGTGCTGTCATCATCCGGGTGCTGTGCTTCATATAAACAGAACCGCACACTCCTGCATCTGGCTTCCTTCTCTCCACATCAGGTGGGTAACACTCTCCGTATGTGGCTGCAGGTTTTCCATCA